GCCGCCCCCCTCGAGGCCCCCCCGCTGAGCCGCCGCGGCCTCCTCCGCGAGAGCTTCCCCAACCCGCGGGCGGTCAGCACCGAGGTGTAGGCACCCGTGCCACGAGCGCTGGGTGTCCCCGGCCGGCACCCGCTTGAAGAAAGGAGCTTTTTGGGGAGGGGTTCAGGCAGAGAGGACCCCCCCGAAGCCCACCCGAGACCAGCACCGTCCTCCTGCTTGAACCGCCCAGCCTGGCTCAGCTTTACGGGCGAGAAGACGAGAGACCTCGAAGGGCGACATTAAACCGGCCACCTCCGAACCCGTCATAAGTGTCATTATTATTCTACTCTATCTCCTGAAGGGGCTTGTCTAACGAGGGCTATGTACAGTACAACCTAATTTAATTACCCCAGGCTCCCCCGACACCCCGAGCAAGGGCTCTGGTGTCCCCATGCAGCCACCCGAGGCAATGCCTGCCGCCTCCGGCAAATCCCACTGGGAATGGCGATGGGAAAGCAAAGAAGGGAAGATGCAGATCACCCTGCTCCCCTCGTACTGTGTTAGTTGCCACTAGCAGTTAGCTGTTGTGTTCGAGTGTAAGGTAGGACACCATCTCCCACCTGCTTTGGTCTCTACACGTGCTGAAGAAGCTGGAGATGTTCATTCAGGTCACTGCCCAGGGAAGCAAAGTTGCTCACAAGACCGCTCACCTGCGCCAACGGGCACAGGCTGATCCTTCTGCAGCCAAAGCCTCCACCTCTTCTACTCTTCACAAGCTTTCTTAGGAGCCATTTTAACTTGGACCAATAAAACTGGCAAGATTGTTACTTATGGGAAGAGCTGCACCCCTAAATGACTGCAGTTTTGGTCACCTTCAGTGTTCAAAGCCCTACCCAGCCCACCCTGACAGCTCCGGACAGCCGGAGGAAGGTTGGCTTTAGGATGGCTTTTCCTTTCAACCACCAGGTCATGTCTCCTCCTTTGCGGGACCCACAATGTCCCATGGGAGGACAACTGATGTTCAGGTGACCAGGGTCCCTCCACCCTCATCTTGCTTTTGGAAGAAGAGGATGACCCAAACTTGGGTTCACCAGCTTTGTGACCAGTAATGACAGCCAGTGACTCTGCCTTTCTGCAAAAATGAATGTGGGAAAGTTTCTTCTTCTGCCATAAATCAAATTAGGTGAAAAATTACTAAAAGGACATCTCTGTCATTCACAGGCACTTCTATAGCAACCAGCGCAGCACCACTCGGCTGAGCACTTCCCATTCATGGCAGGGAGGAGGGACCTGGACAGCAATGATCCCCACAACCACGTGGATGCTGTTGGAGGCAACGGCCTGGAACTCTTGCCGTGCCTTTGCAACGTAGGGTACGACTGCTCAGAAATGGGATTGGTGGTTTGTTGTTGATTTTTGTTTTTCACCGCCGCGATGTAGAAACCGTCCTGCTGCTCACAAGGTCTGGATTTCACCTCCCTGTTCGTGCACAGGAACAGCAGGTCTCAGCATGGAGCTACATGAGCCTCGGGTGTTATCAGGCAAAAGGCTAATTTACACTTTGGACCTGCTCATGCCTTGGCACCTCTGCTCAAACTACCTGAAGAGAAGGAGCCAGATGAACGCCGAGCGTGGTGATGGTCCTTGTAACCAACCACCTTGCCCCAGCCCACAATTTACACAGCCCTTTGAGCAAACGTGGTGCACCATCTCCCCCACCTCTGTCCCAGAGAGACATCACATTGCCATTATCCAGAGACTAGCTGTGTCTCTTTTAGAGTCTCCTTCCCATTCCTCACGTAGTGATAGCAAGTCTTTAAACATCCTCTGACATTCAGGGCAGGCAGGTGGGAAGGTGAAAGCAGCAGCAAAGCTCTTTGGATCCCACTGGCTCCTACTGCTTCCCATACGGCCAGTCTGGAAGTATGAAAACACAGCCTCTATCTGGGGGAAAAAAAAACCTTGTCTGACTCAGCAAATCCCATCCTTTCCCACTAGAGCATCTGCTCAGCTAGGTCTCCATCCTCTGGGAGCCACGAGAATTTAGTATGTCCCAGTGTGACCTGCAGGCTACTGCCTGCACGTCTGTGCCAGCGATATTGTCCCCTTGAAGGGTGCAGAGCCAGCTCGTGGGCACTGCAGCTCCTGGCATCCAACTCAACCCCTTGGCACACAGCAAGACTTCCCACCACAGAGGCAGTACCCGACCTCCAGAGGATGGGAATAATTAATGCTTCTGTGGGTGACCCTTCTGGTGAAAGGAGGGCAACAGCATCGTCAGCTTTACCACACACGAATTATGTGTGACCTGTCGCCTTCTAACGAGGTGCCAAGGCTGGTGAGGCAGTTACAGAGTAGCTGGATGGCCAGGGTGAGGGTTTTCCTCACAGCCAACACAACCTCCTGGGCCTGGCACAGCTACAGAGAAACAGGCAAGTCAGAAAGGGCTGGAAACGTGGGAGATGCGATTGTGGGTTTGAAGGTTCTGGGGATGGTGGAGGAACAGGACGGGGTAGGGGCAGGGATCCCAGACTTTTTCCACTTCAGATTCCTCCTGTTATTACTCTTTGTCTTTGTTGCTCAGCTATGGGTCCAAATTCAATGTCAGAAATAAATGAGGACTTTGAAATACAAAACAGGAGTAGTTGCTGTTCTTTGGCGGGCTACACAAAATGGGGTTTACCTGCTGCTGCCTGGAAGCTGTACTGGCAGAAAGATTTTTGCCTCCCCACCCTTCCTGCTCCTGCTTTCCTTCCTCTTGCATCCCTCTTCCTCCCCTTAACTCCAGCCTAGGTACACGCATCCCAAAACCAGAGTTTTACCATTTAGCTCTTTATTGTGACACAGGACTTTTTCTTTTTTTGGTGTGTTTTGGAAGTTGCCCTTTGTAGCAGAAGAACCTGCAGTGCAGATCAGAGAGATGGCAGCTGTCCATGCCCTGCTGGGGGCTGGCCTCTGTGCCCCACTGCCTCCAGCCAGAGCCCTTCAGAGAGGACAACAGCAGGGTCAGGCTTTGCCAACTCACTCCTCAGTAGCTTTCTAGGAACAGACGTTTTTTTGTCTTGTGTATAATCCTCTTGGTGGAGAGGGAACAGTGATGACTAAGTCCTAGGAATTCCTCCTCGCTGAGCGGGCTGGTCTACAGGGACTACCTCTGCAGCCAAGCCAAGTGGGGTGGCTCCAAGTGCTAAAGTCTGGCTCAAAGGGGGCTCTTGCCCCTGAACTTGGATGGAGACTATGGCCTGGCAACCATCAGGGTGACCTGAGACGACATGACCTGCAGCAAGCCTTCCTGTAGTACCAGTGAGAGCACAGCTTCACCTTCAGCACCAGCACGCAGTTGGCCGTAGCTTTGTCTTCACAGTCTTCTTCTGGGGAGCAGAAGCATCCACAGTAAGGGCTTAAAAAGGAGATGTGCTTCCCCAGTGGAGAGCTGGACAGAGCCACAGGCTCCCAGGGGGCTACTGTCCCTCCCAGACTTACCTGGTGCCTCTGTGGGGCACGGCTGGAGCTGGCACATCTGCCTGGCTTCTGGTTTGGAATCGGGGTCGCAGCCCTGGGCCAGAGCTTCCCCCTGGTAACACTTCACCTCACGCAGGCGCAGGCCAGCACCACACGTCTTGCTGCACTGTCAGAATCAAGAGAGACAGGAAAGGGAGAGTGAGAGACGTTTTTTAAAATTTTTCTATAGTTCCCAAGTTCTTTCGTCCGGTGAGGCCTCCTGCTTTCAGCTCTGGAGAGTGTTCTTGAGGAGGTTTGGGTCAAATCCCCACACGATCTCAAACTTGTGCTCCCCTTCTGTCGCTGCAGGAGAGCCTCCCTGAGCTGGGGTTGGGGCAGAGTGAGGGAGGAGTTTGCTTTCATCTCAAGCTTTCATCTCAGTTTGAATGTACCTTGGGATTGTTTTGGCTTTGCGTGCCAATGCTGTGAGAGAAGATGGAGCAAGTGGCTGCTGCAAGCCAGGCCCTGTTTCCCCTGTCCTCCCATTCCCTAAATGCTCCTCAGTTGAATTAAAGAGAAAGACAGAACATAGACTCCTGGCAGAGGAGGAGACATGGCTGCATTGCCTGCAGTGCAGTGCCTGCCCTTGCTTGAGGCAATAATCCCTGTGCCCTCAGGTGTCCCCCAGTTCCCACCTGCCAGTCTCTCCACCTGCAGAAGAGCAGAGCTCATGGTCCCACCCAGACCTAACAGAGCCCTCAGCAGAACCGGCTTGCTAGAAAACCTCAGCGCAGGCCACGCTCTCCCCCTTCCCCACCACCTACCTGAGACCAAGAGGTAGTGAACCAGGTTGAACACGGCCTCCTGAAACAGGCAGCTTGCTCCTCAGGTTTCTGGGAGGCTTCGCAGCGCGTCTCGGGGTACTCCCTGTACACCCCGTTCTCCAGGCCCGCGCACACGACGACCCGGGTCTTCAGCCCTCGCCCACAGCTGGCATCACACTGGGGAAGAGGACACGACAGCTGGGAAACAACTGATGCTTCTCAGCTGCAGAGCTTCAAGTCAGATGGCACCCTGCTCAGAAGGTGCTTAACACGTGTGTGCCAACAGCAGCCTAGCAAGTGTTGGTTGTGCTGCCCAGGTCATGGGAGCAATGGGTGGCTGCAGAGCAGCTGAGCTTCTCAGGGAGTGAGGGCAGGAGCTGGTAATTAAGAGTTTAGGCAGCACTGGGGATGCTGGATTCACCTTGGCTGGCCTTGGGAGCAGCTACCCCAAGGGACCTGGAGCAGCCAAGGTAAAAGATTACAAGAGGCTGTTTCTGTCTTATGTGTATCTAAGTCCTCAAAATCCACGTAGCATATTTGTGCAACAACCTTCCTCCTGGAGTACTGACAAGCTTTGCGTGGGCCCAAGGGGCCCAAACTGGTGCACTGCAGGTGCTCTGCATGGACAAGTACTGCTGAGCCCAAAGCTGTGGGCTTAGCTGGGAGCTTTCACTCAGGGCACAAGCAAGA